GATTTAAAAAAAAAATGAATCTATCATAAATTTATAACTAGGATAATATATTTGTAAAATTATTATAATTTTAGTTAAAAAGGTCAATTATTATTTTTACAAGACTAATTACACATAATCTGAGATATAGTTGTTTATAATCAAATTTATAATTATTTTTATACAAATGTGTTTCACTACGATCAAACTGAACCAAATCAAAATTCACCAATCCAAACTTGAAATATATAATAGTATAAATGGATAAATAAATTTATAATATTAAACTAACAAAAAATTAATTAATCAAAAAAAATTGTAGAATACAAATGATCTAAAGTATTAAATTAATTTATAAGTTGTATAGAATCTTGAAAGCATATTATAAAATTATTAATAATCTTGAAAACATTTTTTTATTTTGAAATTGATTAAATATATTACAACAACACAAAACACATATTTGTACAATGGACCGTACCTATTGCCAGCAATCGAAGAACACGTGAATAACGGCTCTGCCCACGTAGTTTTGTCATGAAGAAAACATAATTGACAAGCTTATCAGAACCGTTGATCAACATCGTATAAGCTTGTAGTTTATTGAAAAAAATATAACATAATCCTGATTTATGTGAAAGCTTTTTATTTTTTTCGGAGAATAAGGAAATGAAGGTTTTACCATTCGATTAATCATTCTATAACGAGTGTAGTCGTCGAGTAGCCTATTCACCAAATTTTTTAATGGGTTTAAAACGTGGTATTATTTCGACTGACCATAGATAATTTTACGATTAAAAATAAATAAATTGTAGCCTAGATCTAGAGAGCAATTCTTCTCCAAATAAAAACAACTAACCTATTTTTTGTGAAAGTTGTATAGCCAAATAAATTTTAAGAATACATGTGGTCCTAGTGAAGGACAATCTTGATATCTTCTTCACAATTTATTTTTCATATTTTGGGAAAAAAAATCAGATTCACAGAAAAAACAACAAATGGTAATCCAAAACAAAAGATGAATCCAATGTTGAGTGGTGCAAATCTAATATATATCCCCGTTCATTTCGGAGAGCATTTTGGAACGATTTGTTTGAGGCACACATTTGGTCTTATGAAATTATGAAATTTATTATTTTTGGACTATACTTCATCCTCGAACTTTTGTTCAGCTCATTTCCCAAATCCCTATCCATATTATCTGACTCCCGGTTATGATATGTTGTACTCAAATGAACAGTTCTGACATCTGGCAATGCTTATCTATAATGTTTTTTATATACATGAAATCTTGGATCATAAATCAAATAAGATGTGACAACCAATTTTTCTTCTGCTCTTTTTTTGGTTACTAATATAAGTTGATAATTTATTAAAAAAAAAACTCTTTTTCTCTTTGTTTTCTAAGTTTTTTTTTTGTCTCTTTCCTCCGGCTTACAATAACATCGGGTGTGATTAACTATGGAAAAATTGCAAAACAAATCTAAGACCACGGGAATTGACGTTTCATTTTTGTGCAAATTAATCCCATAAACTAATAGAGTTTTATCAAAAAATAAACTAATAGAGTTAACTTACTAACGAGATTAAAGTGCACCAGTTCATTTATTATATAGAACGACTATGTATCGTCTTCAAGTAGAAAAGAACTGAGTACAGTATCATGATTTTGATTCGTCAACATCTCTCATACAAAATCCTAAATCTGAAAGCACATCGAATATATGAATTACGGTTGTCTCATATCTCACCTGTACGTAGTTGTCGGTCGACTCGATATCCAAGCGACCATATAACCAAATACATGGCTAACATCGTGAAATCCCTCACGGCACCTATATTTCACATTAAAATTGAAGTGGTAAACACCATGGATCAGAGCATACGTACTTGTTAAGCGTCAGGATTTGTTAAGTTAGTTTAGTTTTGAATTTTTTTTTTTGTTAAAAAGAAAAAGAGATTTTTTTTT